ACTCGTCCGAATCTCAGCTGGCCTCGACGGAAAGCGACAAGCCGACGGCCGGCCGCGTCTACGAGAGTGACTCTTCGAACCACTGCATGCTGTCCCCTTCGTCCAGCGGCCACCTGGCCGACTCCGACACGCTCTCCTCGGCCGAAGAGGCCGCCCCCGGCCAAGCCGAGACGGCGGCGGTCGAGGGGGACCCCTCCGCTGTCTCCCTGTCGACCCCGGGGAGGAAATCCAGGCGGTCCCGGTCGGAAAGCGAAACCTCCTCCACCATGGCCGCCAAGAAAAACCGGCAGTCGAGCGACAAGCAGAACGGCCGGGTGGCGAAGGTCAAAGGTCACCGGAGCCAAAAGCACAAGGAGCGCATCCGGCTGCTGCGGCAGAAGCGGGAGGCCGCCGCCCGCAAGAAGTACAACCTGCTGCAGGACAGCAGTACCAGCGACAGCGACCTCACCTGCGACTCCAGCACCAGCTCCTCGGAGGACGACGACGAAGAAGTCTCGGGGAGCAGCAAGACAATCACGGCAGAGATACCAGGTAGAGGATGTTTTTTAAACTGAACTGGCGCCAAAAAAAAAATTAAAAAAAAATGGTCCTTCCAACCGTTTTCTCTCTCTCGCTGTCCTGCTAAATTTAGAAAGGAGCGCCAAAAAAAAACCCCCACAACCCCTGGTAAATAAATAAACTCGCTAGGAGAAAACAGAGAGAGCTCTGTGTAAAATACGAGGGCTGCGGCGTTATTTAGAACGTGATTTTTTTTTGTCCCCCCCCCCAAAGGCGGGTAAGGGTTTCTCTCGGTATCCCTCTGATTTGCACGATCGTTCACCTTAAAACTAAATAAATAATAATAATAATAATAGTCGTCATCCAGACGAATCCTGGTAACAGTTGAGTTGTCCGTTGTTCCCTCCCCGTACCTCCACCTTCTCCTGCCCGGTTGGCGTTATAGCGCACCTTAGGTTGCGATCTTTGAAAGGAGTCTCCTTGGCTGCTATTTCGTTCTGAACGGGGGGGCCGCCCTTCTCAAAACTGCTGCAGATGTTTCTCTCCCTGCATCTGAAATTTCAGGAGGCATCTTAACTGCTTTCTACTATTAGCCCTCCCCCCCGTTGTTAAACGTTGCACTTTTCCAGCTCCCTTTCAAGGCACGAGTAGCTGGCTCAGCTTCCCTGCACGTTTTCTAAACAAGGCAACGTGGTTATTCCAAGGAATATTTTGCACACAAGATTGCAAATTTGTATCCCCCCCCTATGCTATCCTGCAGTTTCAGAAGAGAGGTAACACGTTCTGCTGTGTGGATTGCACAGTTATCAATACTTATTTCCCTCCCC